TAATAAGGGACAACCTAATATGGAAACAGAAAGTTTTGGAAAGTTTGTAGAAAAGGAGCCCTGAAAAAGTAGTTTTGTACATGTCAAATTCTAACTAAAGTTCTTTAGACCTTGAGCCAACTCTGAGATGCTTCAAAGTCCTGGTATAATGTTACCAGTCATAATTCTAGTTATTAAAATGTTTTATGTCACAGAAATATGCAAGTTTCTTGTCAATTGCCTTGTAATCAGACCTTTGACCATGTCATTCTAAGAAGAATACTTTTGTAAACAGAAATAAAACATTTATCTTTTTCTCTCTACCTGATCCTTCCATAGTTTGGCTTCTCCAGCTAACTGACTCCAGATGACTTGGCTTATTATGTCAAGATTACAACTAGTTATACTAACCATTGTTTTAATTTACTCTCTCTCATTTTCAAATTATTTATGCCTGTGTCTCTCTCTGCTACACTATTAATGTTACCAGTTGTATTATATTCTGTTTTACAAGACTGTTGTCTCTTGCATTACACAACATGTTACCAGGCCTCCAACAAAATTAATATCTCAAAACAGTTAATCATATATATAACTCTACACATAATTAATGTAATAGTACAACTCTAAATACAATTAGAAGCAACAAGGGAAAACATCTACTGGATCATAATAAACTAGTAATACAAGCAATCCAGAGAATTTTAGATGATCAACAGGGTCTAATCCAAAAAAACATAAAGTGAAAAAGTGAATGTTAGTCGCTCAGTCCTGTCCCACTCTTTGCAACCCCATGGACCATAGCCTGCCAGGTTCCTCTGTCTATGGAATTCTCCAGGCAAGAATTTTGGAGTGTGTTGCCATTCCCTTCTCCAGGGGTTCTTCCCAACACAGAGATTGAACCTGGGTCTCCTGCACTGCAGGCATTCTTTACCATCTGAGCCACCAAGGACCAAACAAAAAACCTCAGCTCATCAAATGGCCAATCAACAGAATCTTTTCCTGATTTAGGAATGAGAGCCTTCCCAGCACAGTGGACAAAACTGGTCATGCAGACTCCCCCAATGATCCAGTGATTAAGACTCTGCATTTCCACTGCAGGGGTTCTATCTCTGGTGTAGAAACTAAGGTTACACATGCCACAGCATAGTCAAAAAAAAAAAAAATTGGTCATGAAATGTTATGACCAAGAGGAGGCACTGTGTTAAAAGAATGTCATCTGCCATATCAGCAAAGAATGCTGCAGCCTTCAGGTGATCTGCCCACTGCAGATCACCACCCTTGAAGGGATTCAGGATGGAGAAACATAGGACACTGTCCCTGAAGAGTTAAAATCCTTATCAGAGGAATGCTTTCAATAAGCCCAGACTCTTACATCTTCCCATACATAAAAATGTGCTAAGATCATCAACTTGATGTTTGGTTCTCTTTAATTAACGTAATTTCGTTTTATTTCTAACTACCTGGCTTTTGTCGCAAATCTGTATACCCTGGCTTCCCCCTTACCTCTCGGGAAGGTTCCTCAGAGCTGAGAGGCTGCTCCCTGTTGTTAATTTCTCAACAGTACACCCACTAAAAATATATATATAATTCTCAACTTTTAGGTTATGCTTTTTTTTTTAACTGACAGGTGTTAAGACTGAAAAAAAGCATCAGAATAAAGTAAGAAGTACAAGCTAGACACCCCTGCTCCTCTCACTCACGGAAGAAAGTCAGACTCTTCCCCAGCGCCTGGTGCTGCTCACCCCCAAACACCGACCCCGAACCTGTGTCTGTCCCAGGAAACCCGGGCCGCAAGAATGCTGCCCCCTACCCACGGCCGACGGCCTGGCGAATCCGGCAGCCCCCTGTCCCCTATCCCTACCGCATCTCCTCCGAGGTCCGTGAACCTACGCGCTCACCTGTCCTCAGGGTTCACGCCTCTCGGGCTGGAACCGCCAGGCCGCGGTGGAAAGGGAGCAGCGAGCACGAGGTGCAGGAACTCGGGCCGATGCTCTCAGCCGGGAGCCGCAGGACACGGGCGCGCGCTCCCCTGGCCGCGGAGCCAGTGCCAGGACTACATTTCCCATGAGCCCCCGCGCCACCCTGCGGAGCGTCCCTGGGTTTTGCGTTCGGATACGCTTCTCGGCTGGTCGTGAGTGGACGTGGAGCGCGTGCGCGAGGGGCTGGGGCCCTGCGTGGGCTGCGGGGGCCGGAGCAGGAGGCCGGGCGGGGCCGGAGCAGGAGGCCGGGCGGGGCCCGCGCTGCAGCCGCCTGCCCTGTGGACCCGCGAGGCTCGGGAGCCCGGCTGTGGGCTAGCTCGCCGAGCCGCTGCCTTTGTGACGGTTCTTTTGCGCCCGCAGGTGCCGATCGTAGGTATGCACGGGAGGGCTGGACGTGGTTTGCATCCTAGCGGACCGGGCACCGCGGTTTGCTCGCCTCTTCCCGAGGTGGACGGTCATTTCACCAACAATGCTTCTTCCCTATGGTCTTCCTGGGCTGACCTATCCCCGGAGCCCCTTGGATTCGCGCGGTCACGATGGTGGGATTGAACCCTGATGCCCGCTGCGCCGGACGGTTCTGGGGAGTCCGAGCCACATAGTCTCAGACATGAGAAATAACGATTCTTCTGTTCCTGTTTCCTTTTTCTTCCCAACTGAGGCCAGAGGTTTAAATTTTTGCATCTAGCCTTTCCAGCGTCTGCTAAACGTGATCTGATCATGCTCTTTTTTTGTTACAGCAGGAAATTTCTTAACTGTGAATGTGTTAACGTTCATAAAAGAAATCCAACGTGGTTATATTGGTTTTGAAATATATATATGTATTACTGTATTCTAGTCGTGGATACTGTAAAAGTTATATGCTGCAAGCATTGATAAAATAGGTCTACTTTTAATAAGTTTCGTAGCAAAAAGAGCTGGACCGTTTTCTATTTCTTACTCTGAAATATTCATTTAAAAACTTTTTACTTATTGAAATTATTTTATCATTTATCTTCCTCAGAATTGCGTGTCATATTAGTATTTTCAGTGTTTAAAATCGAACAAGTTTGTGTTGGTCTTTTTTAAAAAAAAACTGCACCTCTAGCTCCTTCAGTTGTTGAGTTTTCTCTTTTTGTTGTTGTTTTAATCAAATAGTTTAACTGGAAGTGTGTATGTGTTTAAACTAGTTTTATTTTTCAGACTCATCTCATAATTATTATATTTTTTGTTTTCTCTTAACACTAGAGCACTTAAAACAATCAAATTTGTACATAATCTAACATCTGGTATGAATGTCAAAGAAGAGGTTGACATTTCTCAAGGGGTTGACAAAAAGGTTGACATAAAAATTATATAGATCCCACCCAAAGTATATGGGGAAGGTGACAAATATAAGTTTATCTATACTTCACATACAGAATATACTGTTAAAGAAAAAAAAGTAAAAGGGAAGACAGGTTGTCATCCAGAATGTGTGTGTATGCTCAGTCGTGTTGTACTCTTTGCAACTCCATGGACTGTAGCCTGCCAGGCTCCTCTGCCCATGGAATTTTCCAGGCCAGAATACTGGAGTGGGTTGCTATTTCCTACTCCAGGGGATATTCCGACCCAGGGATCAAACCCATATCTCCTATGTCTCCTGCATTGGCAGGCAAATTCTTTACCCATTCACCACCTAAGGAAGCCCATCCATAATGCTAGCTAAAAGAGTGTCACATTAGGGGCATCAACTAAAGTTAACTGTCTACTAAGATGGTATGTAATTTAAAAGATGGTATAACAAGTGTTGGCAAGCATGTGGGGAAGTTGCAACCCTTGTACGTTGCTTGTATGAAAGTAAAATGATGTAGTCACTATGGAAAACGGTTCAGTGGATCCTCAAAAAGCTAAACATAAAGTTACCGTATGAGCCAGCAGTTCCACTCTTAGGTATAATCATCAGCAGATGAATGAATAAAATGTGGTGGATCTATACAGAGGAGTATTATTTAGCCATTAAAAAGAGAGAAATGCTGATTCAGGCTACAACATGCATGAACCAAAATGTCAACTTGAAAAAATGCACAACATGAAAGTTGTGAGTTAAGTTTTATTTGGGACAAAACGAGGACTGGAGCCCGGGAGACAGCATCTGAGATCGCTCTGAGAAACTGTTCCAAAGAGGGGGGAAAGTCAGTATATTTGTGATTTTGGTGAAGGGGGAATACATGCAATCAAGTACATATCTTCCCAAAGGCTTCTGCTAGTTTGGTGAAGCTTTTGCTAGTCATGAGGAACAATCATCAACGTGAAGGATTTCAGTGCTTTCTAGATATGAAGAGAAACAAGAATTGGGCTCCTTAAATCTCTTCCTGAAAAATATCTAACTGAAGATGTCTCCTGTCAGTTTTTGCCCCCACCAAGCACAGAGTACCTCATTTCTGCTTTCCAACCTCAACTCCTTTCAGGGAGTGTTGAAGTTTAGCAGCTGCAGCAGCATATGACTTAATCCTTGTAGAGGTAGATGACAAGTGCCAATTTGTAGTTGACAAAAACATTATGCTGAGCGAAATAAACCAGACATAGACATATGATTTCAATCAACTATGGTATGATTTCCTTTTAACCTATAAGGGAAAAAAATCTGAAAAAGAATATGTGTGTGTGCGTATAACTAAGTCACTTTGCTGTACATCTGGAACTACCACAACATAGAAAATCAGCTATACTTGAATAATAAAAGAGATTTTTTTTTTAAGAGAGAGAATTCAATATAGTATTAGAACCATTCAATTCCAAATAAAATTTAACACAGAAGTCTAGAGATTGTGGAGCGGAGGCAGTCTTTGGAGCTCTTTTCTTCCTACTCCTGGGAGTTTCGGTCACTGTACATGTATTTCTGGAACAGTCTGATGTCCGCTGTGTGGTGTGTAGGTACATGCAGCTAGTCTGAAGGAATCTAGGCTCTTGATTAACAAGCCCCTGATCATAGCACCTCTCCTCAAGTTTCTTCCTTTCCCACAGCTTCACTTGCTCGATATCTCCTGCTTCTCAGGAAGTTCTGTCAGGAACAAGGAGGGCATGGAGGCTGAGTTGCTAACTGCCCGGTCCCACGTAAGTTGGGCTGCCTTCATTCTTTTTTGTTTTCCAACTGGGAATCCATTTTTGGTTAAGGGTTCTTAAGGGATCCATATGTCAGACACTTCCCCCTGCAGACTGGCACTATTTTGTTTGCTTTATTTATAGTTGTTTTATTTCCTTTCATATCAAAGAAACACAGCTTGAACAGAAATGTGTGGATTATCAAGGATTCTGATGAGATGCTCTTTGTCCATAGTGAGGAACTGAGCACACAGCAAGCTTTCTCCCTCAAAGATGATGACAGAACTGGGGATACCGGTGCCTTTTTGAGGGATTCTCTGGTCCCTGGTGGTCTTGGGTGTGGGGCTGGCTTGTTAGTTTCTGCCTGGGGACTGGATGAGCTTGGGGATAAGTTGTGTAATTATCCAGGAGTAACTAAAATGAAGACAGGAAGAGCCCGGGGGAGGGTGGGTCCTCTGGGCACAGAGTGGCTAGATGGGGAACCCTCCTTCAGCCTCTCTCAGCTTTTCCCCTAGATCACCCCCTCATGCTTTATGTGTATTGAAAACCCCACCAGAGAACATAGCCTTTGCTTTGGGCTGTCCTACATATTTTGAAGGATTTAGGAAAAGTAGTCTACAGTATTTACCCAGATATTTACTTTTTTTTTTCTTTTTAATTTGGCCACGCCACATGGCATGTGGGATCTTAATTCCCCGACCAAGGATGGAACCCACACCCCATGCATTGTAAGCCCAGGGTCTTAATCACTGGACCGTCAGGGAAGTCCCCAAATATTTGCTTTGTCTTTCTTATCTGTCATTCCTGAGATGTAAAATTTCTCTCTTGTATTATTTTCCTTGCCTAAAGAATTACCTTTAGCATACCTTTAGAGCTGGTCTGCTGGTAACAAATCCTGTTTGTTTAACTTTATTTGAGAATGTATTTGTCATCATTCCTGAAAGATATTTTCACCTAGTATTGAAATTCTTGCATGACAGTTCATTTCTTTCAACATTAAAAAAGCCCACTATTCCACTATATTTTTATCTTCACAGATCTTTGATGAAAAACACTCAATCATTCAAATGGATTTTTTTCCTTCTATGTGTCATCTACAGTTCTTTTTGATGTGGCTCATAAAAACCTTGCTTCTGTATCTGTTATTTTGTTACTATAAAATATAAGCTCTTTTCCATTTTTAATGCCTACCAATGTTCAAGAAAAATGTTTTATAAATTATTTGAGGTCATGAAACATGGCTACATTGGTGTCTTAAGCGTTAAGTTGTACTTGAATTCAGGACTGTTTTTCCCTTCTTTTCCTGCCTTGTATTAGGTTCTAATTATTTCACTTAAGTGTAGATTAACTGATTCTCCTTGCTTTAGCTGTTTACAGCATACTTGATTTAAATGAGAGTGTTTCTGACAGTTTCTTAACCTAAAGTGTAACATGAAGCTGGTTTCTAGACAGTGCATACTTAATACCATTCCATTTAGAGCTTGACCAGAAGTCGACATAAATAGCACTCACTCCTAGAATAAATCCTGTTCTATACTCCTCCGCTACCCAAGGGCTATCTGCCTAATCTTCTGTTAATATTTGGGAAAGTGGGGGAGCAGAGATATACATCAGGCTCAAATTTGCTTCATGTTGTAGACACTGGTGACCTTCAAGGACGTACTTGTGAACTTCACCAGGGAAGAGTGGAAACTGCTGGACGCTGCTCAGCAGATCATGTACAAAGATGTGATGCTGGAAAACTACAGAAACCTGGTGTCTTTAGGTGAGACCAACCTCTCTTTGTGCAGTGGGTAGGGAATTGTTTTGATTTGTTGAATTTTAAGAAATTGTATATTTTGTATATAATTATATGTTGTATATTTTAAGAAGTGTATATTTTGCTGCCTCTGTAGCCCTACCTTGTCTGTTCTTCAGAGCCCCCACAGGACTGTTGAAGGGTCAGGAGTTGGGCTTGAACTGGGATGTTTCTTTGTGTCTAGCCCAGAACTCCTAACCCTTGCCCAATAACTTTATCTTTCACTGTAAACAGGGCATCAGCTTCCCAAACCAGATGTGATCCTGCGGTTGGAGAAGGGGGAGGAGCCGTGGCTGGTGGAGAGAGAGATTCACCAAGAGACCCATCCAGGTAAGGACCAGACCCCTTGCTCAGAGCAGGAATCACTGGTGACAATGGTCACTAGTTTTCCACATTTCAAAGACAAGGACTGAGTTTATTTACCTTCTGTTTCCCCATTGCTCGCTGCCTTCTTCAATCTTGTCACATTTCAATTTGCATTCATGAAAATTTTCTTTCTGTGGATGTACTTGGTTCCAGCCCTGTTCATAGTGCTTTCTTGATTCTTAACACTAGCTCTAGCATCTGCACCCTCTTGTTTATCACAGAATTACTTCTCATCTTTGACTGTCCTTTCCCTGTCCTGCTTCCCTTCCCATAGCCTTCATTCTGCTGCTTTGTGTAAGCTCTGCTCTGGGACCTCATCACCCACTCCTGCTCTGGGTTTGTTTTCTGCCAGGTAGAAAACTGCTACAGACAACTCAGCAGTCCTTGTTGACGTAACCCTCCTTCCTTCCCAGAATTGCTGCTCTCAAAACCACCTGTTTTCTCAGTGTCATCTAGCTTTATTTAATATTCTTTTTCAATTTCCTCCTATTCATTTTAATCTTAACATCTCCAATTTGAAGACCATTATGAGGATTCCTAGCATCATTCCTTTTCCCAACTTCCCTGTGTAGAACAGATCAGCCTTCTGGGCTAAGAAATAGAAGGCAGTCCTCCATCTTCCTCCTCCTCTGTTCCCACTGAGTGATCATTTCCCACACCTCTGTTTCTAAGCTCAGTGCCCTGACATCTTTCTCCTCGGCCCAGCCATCCTGGTCTGGATCATGCTGCCGATGGCTGACTTCACATGGGGCAGAGCAGCCAGGAAACCTGCCAGTGACCCCTCTGCCCTTGTGGGCACCATGTCCCCTCAGGCCCAGTGCAGTCCAGGCACGCTGTAACCCTCCACAGCTGTTTCCCTCTGACACATCCACACATAGCAGGCATTCCCTGCATTTCAGGCTTCCCATGTGATGTAACCAGAGTCTCAGTCATCCTAGAAGTTTCACCTCCTGTTCTTTGTGAAACCTTTTGACTTGTTAAGTACAGGTTCTTTAAGGTTTTCTGAGCTTTCATTTTGTTTATACTTTTTAAAAAATTATTTATTTTTGACTGTGCTAGGTCTTTGTTGCTGTGTTGGCACTAGTTGCAGCTAGTGGGGGCTATTCTCTAGTTGTGGTTCACAGGCATCTCATCACAGTGACTTCTCTTGTTGTAGAGCATGGTCTCCAGGGCACATAGGCTTCAGTAGTTGTGATGCATGGGCTTAGTTGCCCGTGGCATCTGGGATCCTCCTAGACCAGAATTGGACCCATGTCTCCTGCATTGGCAGGCTGATTCTTATCCACTGTGCCACTAGGGAAATCCTGTTTCTACTCTTAAATGTCATAAATTGTTTCTGACCTTTTTTACACTGGGCCTCGTAGGTGACAGTATCAAATACCTGTCTCAGGGAAGGTCTCTTAGATGTTGGAAAGTACTTGATCCCTCAGCTGCTTTGGAGCCATGCCTGGAAAAACTGTTCTCTGTTTCCTTTGATTTCCCTATTTTTTCCTGTCTGTATTTTTTCCATTCCTGTGTTGAGTTTAGCAAGCTTTCCTGGATGTCTATCTGTTGACAAGTATCCAAAAATAACTGTATAACCAACAGTTTACATTTTGGTGGAAAATTTATTGTCAGAGAAACACTAAAGTTCCATATATGTGCTTAATCACCTAGAGTTTGAGGGACTCTACAAGCCATGGGAACTTCATTATTAAAATGAAAAGTATTATGGGTGATGGCTTTAAAAACTCAGATGAGTTCATTAATGGGTGCTACAGATTTTGAAGATAATTCACCTGGGTTATCTCCCATGTTACAGAATACATGGAATATTTTTAGGACTTTAATACATTTGTATTTTCTGTCACTTTACTCAGACTTGTCCTTCCATACCCAGCCCCACCCCTCATCATACGTGTTCATTTTAGAATTTTCCAGCTGGCATTTGTAATCTGAAAAACTTATCCATGGGATTTTGATGCATGGAGTGGAAGAGAGGAAAAAGATGGCATGTGTCTATCAAAACTCATCAAGGTAGAGGTATTTGTAAGTGTAATGGACTCTGTTTATTGTTTAGTTGCTAGTCATGTCCAACTCTTTGCAACCTAATGGACTATAGCCTGCCAGACTCCTCTGTCCATGGGATTTTCCAGGCAAGAAGACTGGAGTGAGTTGCCATTTTCTTCTCCAGGTGGATCTTCCTGACCTGGGATCAAACCCAGATTTCCTGCATTGGCAGGCAAATTCTTAACCACTGAGCCACAGGGAAGCCCAATGAACTCTGTTGTTTAGCCTTTAAAAGGAAGTAAATACCTGCAGTTTGCTCTAATGTGGACGAACTTTGAGGACAGTATGCTGGGTGAAATAAATAACTCACAGAAGGACAAATGGTGTATCATTCCACATATATAAGGTACTTGAAGTAGCCAAAATCATAAAGACACAGAATATACTGGTAATTGCTGAGCACTGGGTTGAGAGGAGATTGGAGCATTATTGTTTAACAGTATAGCGTTTCCATGTTACAAGATGAAAATGGCTGGTGGTGATGGCTGCACAACAATATGAAGACACTTAATAATTGAATAATGTACTTAAAAATGGTTAAGATGGTGCATTTTTAAAAATTTTTAATTGAAAGATAATTGCTTTACAGAGTTTTGTGGTTTTCTGCAATACATCAATAAGAATCAGCCATAGGTACATTTTATGTTATATGTATTTTTTTAATCACATTTTTTTAAAAAAAGAAATCAGGGTGGGGAAGAAACAAATAACTAACAAAGTTGAGGATGAAAATTATGACTGGGAATGGGGATTGGGTTGTACAAAGAAGGCAGTTAGGAGCCTGGCACAGGGATTATTTACCAGCTGTCTTAGTGTCCTGTGGCAACCAAAACAAAGTTTCACAGACCAGGTGACTTAAATCAACACATTTATTTTTCTCATAGTTCTAGAGGTCTGAAGTGAAGATGTGGGCAGGGCCGTGTGCCCTGAGGCTTCAGGGGAGGATCCTTCCTTCCTCTCCTAACTTTGGTGCCCCAGGGGCCCTTTGGCTTGTAGACACATCACCTCTAGCTTCACATGGTCACCTCCCCTGTGTGTCTGTCTCTGTGTCTCTTCTTCTCTTCTTGTAAGGACTCCAGTCAGATGGGATTAGGGTCATCCTACTCCAGTGATACTTCATCTTAATTAATTACATTTGCAATGATCCTGTTTCCAAATAAGGTCATAACCTGTAATGTTGGGGGTTAAGACTTCAACAGATCTTCTTTGGGGAACATAGTTCACCCCATATGTCAGGTAAGAATAGGTATTGCCCCACTTATATAGGAAGAGGTGGTGTTGGGTAAGTTGTGGATTTTTTCTAGATTGCAGAAACAAACATTTTAGCCAAAAGGCATTGAGAAACAAATACAGGCTCTGAACCAGGGAAAGTAACTTGTAGTAGTATGCATGTGTATAAGCAGAATGGCGAAAAGTCCAGGAGAATGTGAATTAGGTAGGTTCTGAGTTAATATCCTTTGTTAGTCCTGTCAATATTAAGTCTTGAAGTCTCAGAACAAAGGAATCAAAACAGAAGGTGGGAATGATGACAACAGTGAGCATTACAAACTGTATTGCTTTGGTGATGAACTCCTACCTTATATGATACTCAGAATAATCTTATAGGTCCTTAGATGACAGATAAGCAATATGATTTTTGAAAAGTTTAGCACCTTGTCTAAATTCACCACTAGTAGTGGCAAAACTTAGGTTAGAAGCTGGGTAACTTCTGTGCAGTTGCTCTTCCAGCCTATCACATGGCCTTTCTGAGAGGTTTGCCATGTCAGACCTGTAATTATTCTGCACTGCTTTGGTGATATAGATAAGAACCATTTCCTGACATAGAGCTGCGTTCATGGTTTAGGAATGTGAAGAATTCACGTCAGGGGAGGGCTTGGCAGCAAGTAGACACATTAGGTTCCTATATCATTATTAGTTGGATTAGGTAATGGCAGTGCAGCCCCTTCTGTGGATTTCCTAAACTGACACCCCAGCACGGAATATCTTGATCCCACGTGTCACAGCTAATCCTGTGACTTCTGTTACTCTCTTTGCTCCTTTTATGTGCATATTATAGCCCATCTCATTTCCTGTCAATGAGTCTTCTATCCCTTTTTCTCTATCAAAGTTATAAAACCATATTTGAAAGCAACACTACAGGACTTAACATACTTTTTTCTACATACATCCTACCATTCTGACCTTAATACTTCTTTTAGTTATGCAGGCTTTTCCATTTCTTTCAGATTTGGAAACTCCAGTTGAAATTAAATCAACTTTCAGTAAGAGCATTTCTAAAGATAAATACTCCTGTGATGTTAAAATGGAAAGAATGGCAAAGAGTGATCTCTGGTATTTGTCACTGGAAGAAGTCTGGACATGTGGTGGTCAGTTGGACAGGCCCCAGGACAGCCAGGAGAGACATCTGAGGCAAGTGGCATTCACCCAAAAGAAAGTACTTCCTCAGGAGAGGGTATATGAAAATAGGAAATACAGGGGAAACTGTCTTCTGCCTGCTCAACTAGTACTGCAAGAGTATTTCTGTAAACATGACTCAAATCCTAAAAGTTTGAAACACAGTTTGGTTTTCAGTGGTCATCAGGAAAGCAGTGCAAGCAACAGTAATGAATCCAGTCAATCTTTCTGTCAAAACATCCACCTTATTCAATTTGCAAGAACTCAAGCAGGAGATAAATCATACAGATGCCCTGATAACAATTCTCTTACTCATGGTACATCCCTTGGTATATCAAAGGTTACACATAGAGAAAAACCTTACGAATGTAAGGAATGTGGAAAATTCTTCAGTTGGCGTTCTAATCTTACCAGGCACCGACTTATTCATACTGGAGAAAAACCTTACGAATGTAAGGAATGTGGAAAATCTTTCAGCCGAAGTTCTCACCTCATTGGACATCAAAAGACTCATACCGGTGAAGAACCGTATGAGTGTAAAGAATGTGGAAAATCCTTCAGCTGGTTCTCTCACCTTGTTACCCATCAGAGAACTCATACAGGAGACAAACTGTACACCTGTAATCAATGTGGAAAGTCTTTTGTTCACAGCTCTAGGCTTATTAGGCACCAGAGAACTCACACTGGAGAGAAACCTTATGAATGTCCTGAATGTGGGAAATCTTTCAGACAGAGCACACATCTCATTCTGCATCAGAGAACTCATGTTAGAGTGAGGCCCTATGAATGCAGTGAATGTGGGAAGTCTTACAGCCAGAGATCTCACCTTGTTGTCCATCACAGAACTCACACTGGGCTAAAACCCTTTGAGTGTAAAGACTGTGGAAAATGCTTCAGTCGAAGCTCTCACCTTTTCTCACATCAGAGAACCCATACTGGGGAGAAACCATATGAATGCCATGACTGTGGAAAATCCTTTAGCCAGAGTTCTGCCCTCATTGTGCACCAAAGAATTCATACTGGAGAGAAACCGTATGAGTGTTGTCAGTGTGGGAAAGCCTTCATTAGAAAGAATGACCTTATTAAGCATCAGAGGGTTCATGTTGGAGATGAGACCTATAAATGTAATCAGTGTGGAATCATCTTCAGCCAGAACTCTCCACTTATAGTATATCAAATAGCTCACACCGGAGAGCAGTTCCTAACATGTAATCAGTGTGGGACAACACTTGTTAATACCCCTAATGTTATTAGATACCAGACAAATCTTATTAGGGAAAATGCATATTAATGTCATAAAGACAGACTACTTCCCAAAGAGCAATAACTTTATTTAGCACTTGAGAGCTTCTTTAGGAGAGAAGTTGCTTTCAGTCTTGTTCCTACACTTTTGTGCACTAGAGAATTGGCCCTGGAGGGGGAAAAACACAAAATTTTCACCTTAGTATGTCAAATTGTCTTCTTTTCCCAAATTCCTACAAAAGTAATTGGTCTGGGAGCATTCATGGACAAGACTTAAACGCTAAAATCTGAGAAGGAACCATTAGGTAGGTGAGTTGTTGATAAGCAATCCAGCTTTGTTTCCTTCAAAACAAATGAGAGCACTACCTCTAAAAGACAAATGAGAACTGTTGCTGAGGAGAATAAAAAATGGATATAGTATGGTAACAAACAATAGAAAATGATATTCCAGTGAATTAATATCCCATTTTTCACTTGATCATCCCTCTCTCCTGGGACACTTTGTAGTGTTCATTTAGTTTTATGCATCTGATATAAACCATACTTTGGCTAGCAGCAGGGAAGATCTTATAATGAAAAGTGGTGAAGGAAGAACACATTTACTACCAGTAGTACCCAGGTTAGATATATTTGCTTGTGGGCAAGAACTGAAAACATATATGGATAAATGAACAAAATTGAGTTGTTAGATAATGGAATTATGAATAAGTTTTATAGTCTAGCCAGTGTCACTGTATTTGAAGACACTTTTAAATATTAAAAAAGGATATTGGTTTCTCTATTCCACTATTAGTGAAGCTTGAGAACCTCCTGTTAGCAAACTTTCCCATCGCTTCTAAGTGTGTGTGGAGTCTTAGAATTGTGCTTCTTGGGAAAAGCTGCCGAAGACTCCAGGGAGCTTAAACACAATGCTTCTCTGGATGTTGGGACCTAAAAGAGGGGCAGACTTGGGCACACTAGAAAGGGTCTCCATTTGAGCAGGAACAGGTGCCTGGGCAATACCTAGCACGAGTATGCTCCTAAAATAAACAGTGTTGCCCAAGGCAATCCTCCTTCCAAAGTAGTCTCATATCTTTATGAAGAACAGTGGTCACGAGTGTATATTTGAGCTGGACTTCCAAGTTGAAATCCCTTCTCTGTCCATCACTTGCTGTGTGACCTTTGGCATGCTGCCTGGCAGCTCTGTGTGTGAATTACGGATGTCCTCCTCTGCAGATTAGAGATGACATCACTTACCTCATGGGATTGTGGTGAGTAGTAATGAGTAACATACAAACAGTGCAGAATATGCCTGACATGTATGAAGTGTTTCATTACATTGGCTGTGATTATTAATATTACTTTATTGTCCCACTCAAGTGTCTCTCATTGACTTTAAACCGACTCAATTGCTGGCAAGAACTGGCTAAGTTCTCATTTCCCTTCTAGTCACACATGTCTTCCCTTTTACCCACATTAGAACTTATCACCCAAGGAATCACTCACCCACAGTGGGTGTTTGGATATATTTAGGAGGATCAGTAAACAACTTTTAATCTTGTGTGCAAAGGCAATCTCTTTTATACAGAGGTTTTCCCTTCAGGGAGAGGATCCTAGTCTTCATATTTTCTGTTAAGTCCATGACCCAAAAAAGATTTAGAAAGAGAACCTGTTTTAATTCTCTGTTTCATGCTGGCTCTTGTGTGTGTGTAGGGGGCAGGGGTGGGAGAAGGGACTGACCATCATTTGCCATTTTCTAGTAAATGATACATATTGGAACATATGTTAGATGCTCAATGATTGCTGAATGATATACTATTGAGAACAACAGGATGATGTCCTTGCTTTCTCTCCCAGGACAAATCTAGAAATGCTCCTTAGACTTGAGAGACTTGAGACTTGCAGGAGTGAGAGGTCACAGCTCATTCCTCCTGGTGCAGTTGAGGAAAAGCAAGTTGGCCCAGCCCTCACATTTTGAGAACCTCCTGGTGCTTCAGTTATGGCTGAGTAACTCCTCAGTGATTACACACCATTCATATATTTAATGTAGTTCTACCAAAAATGGTTTTCATTACAAGCAGTGGTTCTCTGTGGGTGTAAAAGAGGAGCCCCTCAGCTGTGCCTCTTAGAATTTCCGATAACCCATGGCTCAATTTTCCTGAACTGTGTAGTGGAGATACTGCTGGTATCTACCTCTGAAGGTAGTTGTGTGGATTAAGTGAAATAATGTGTAAAGTACTTGAAACAGTGCCTGGCACATAGGAAGTACTGTATGTGTTTAGCTATTAATAATAATAATAATGTTACTGTTATTAACACCCTAAGGAATGTATGTCTGTAGATGATCACTGAAGCATTACTTATAATAGTGTAAAATTTGCAATATTAAAAACGATAATAGAAAAGTTGTTATTTATAGACATTAAAGTTTCACAAACAGAAAGTTTGATAACATGGAAAATGTTGTGATGTTATGAAAAAAGCATGATAAATAATTGTCAATATATGGAGTAAGCTCAGCTATATAAAATAAATGAATTTCAAACAACTGAAATGAATCTCACTCAAAACTTTAAGGAGATTTGTCAAAAGATTAATAGTAGTTAACCTACATATTGGGAGAATTGGTGTTTGCTTCTCTTTTCTCTTTTTTTGGTACTTTTCTTTCCAAAATCTCTTCAAAAGAATATATATTCCTTTTAGGATCTGGAAAACAGTCTCTTCAGTGATGGAATGTTTTTTCTTCAAAAGTTCTTACCTACAAGTAATCAACTGAAACTTTTAAAAGGGAGAATTGGCAAGGTTGCAGGATACTAGATCAATATACAAAAATTGATTTGTACAAGCAGTGAATGGTTTGTAAATGAAATACCATCCTATTTGCAGTGATACAAAAATATGAAGTATTTAGGTATATTTAATGAATTGAGTAAGATCTATACAATGAAAGTATAAAACATTGCTGAAAGACATTCAGGAACACAGAAAACACATAATAAACATATTATAAGTGGAGAAATACACCGTGGTCAAGGATGGAAAAACTCAATATAGTAGGAGAGTAATTCTCCCCAGGCTAATCTTTAAGTTCAGAGGCATTTCTGTAGAAATTGACAAGTTAATTGAGAATTTGTACAGAAATACAAAGGACCTAGAATAACCAAAGAAATTTTTTAAAGAGAATAAGGTTAAACGACCTACATTACCTAATTTCAAAGTGTACTATAGAAAAATACTAATAAAATGTTGGCATGAGGGTGGATATAAATCAATAAAATGGGATAGACAATTCAGGAATTGACCTACACAAATACTGTTAATTAATTTTTGACATGAGAACCAAAATAAATGTGGAAAAGATATTCTTTTAAATGAAGGGTGGTGTAACAACTCAATATTTGTGTGGAAAAAACCTTTCCCTTACTTCACATCACATCCAGAAATAACTCAAAATGTAACACAAACTTAAAGTGCAAAAGCTAGAACTTCTCAATATCTGAAAGAAAACAAAAGCAAATGTTTATGACCTTTGGCTAAACAAAAATAGAACAAAATGCATGAATCATGAAAGAAAAACTAAATTAGACATACTAAAACTTTAAGACTTCCAATCTTGGAAACACCATTAAGAACATTAAAAGGCAAATAGACTAGTGTTAATTACACTAACACTAAATTACAATAACACCAAAACCATAGACTAGTGTTAATTAACAGTGTATCTGACAAAAAACTTGTATCCAGAATACAAAGAACCCTTAAAATTCATAAGTTATATAGTAAGATAAATGTGCAAAATAATTTTCCAGATGCTTCACAAAGGAATACATTCAAGTAGCCAGTAAACCCATACAAGGGCTTCCCTGATGGCTCAATCAGTAAAGAAAGAAAGTGAAAAGTGTTAGTCACTCAGTTGTGTCCGACTCTTTGCAACCCCATGCCAGTCTCTTCTGTTCACAGACTTCTCCAGGCAACAATACTGGAGTATACCTTCTTCAGGGGATCTTCCCCACCCAGGGGTTGATCTTGGGTCTCTCACATTGTAGGCAGAATCTTTACCTTCTGAGCCACCAGGAAAACCCCAATGCAAGAGACCTGGGTTCTGTCTCTGGTTTGGGAAGATCCCCTCGAGAAGGAAATGGCAACCCACACCAGTATTCTTGCTTTGGAAATACCCTGGACAGAGGAGACTGGCAGGCTACAGTCCATGGGATCACAGTCAGACATGACTTGGCAATTAAACCAAGCCCATGTAAAGATGCTCAACATCATCAGTCATTAGGGAAATGCAAGTCAAAACCAGAAAGTAGGACTTCATTGCTGGTAGCATGGCTAAGATAGAAAAGATAATGCTAGTTATTGAGAATTGGAGAGATTGGAACATTCATAGGCTGCTGGGGACATTATAGAATAGTACAGCCACCTTGAAGGAGGTTGCCATTATCTTCATTACCTCCACGTAGTTTGGCCTCAGGTCATACAACAGGGAGGGAATACAGCCCCGCCCATCAACAGAAAATTAAAGATTTACTGAGCATGGCCCCGCCCATCAGAACAAGACCCAGTTTCCCCCTCAGTCAGTCTCTCCCATCAGGAAGCTTCCATAAGCCTCTTATCCTTCTCCATCAGAGGGCAGACAGAATGAAAGCTACAATCACAGAAAACTAACCAATTGGATCGCATGGACCACAGCCTTGTCTAAAAACTATGAGCCATGCCATGTAGGGCCACCCAAAATGGATGGGTGATGGTGGAGAGTTCTGACAGAACGTGGTCCACTGGAGAAGGAAATGGAAAACCACTTCAGTATTCTTGCCTTGAGGACCCCATGAACGTTATGAAAAGGCAAAAAGATAGGGAGAGGATGACAGGCAGGAAGGCCAGGGGTCTCCAAATGGAGGAAGTAGGCTGCAAGTGTCAGACATTTTTATCTCTCTTAAGAGGCAGGAGGAAACAAACTAGTGATATTTTTTTCCTTCTCTATACAAATTTAAAAGGAGGTTTCTCTTT